AACAAAGTGAGTCTGGAGAATGGATAATTTGAAATAAAGAAATAGCAATCAAACAGGTCATTCATTTCAGAGTAGAAAGAAGTCATAGAAAGTTACAGCATTGAAAGAGGACATTCAACCCCTCATGTCTGCACTGGCTAAATGAACTAGCTGCCTAATCTAATCCCATTTTCTAGTACCTGGTCTTTAGCCTTGCTGGTTACAGTACTTGACATGTGGATCCAGGCTCTTTTTCGATGCATTGAGTGTTTCTGCCTCAACCACCATAGTGGGCGGTAAATTCTAGGTAGCTACCACCCTCATATCCTTAAATCTATGCACCCAGTAATTGACCTCCCTGCTTGAAGAAACAGATCTGACTTGTCCACTCCATCCAGGTCCCTCACTATTCTGTTCACTTCATTTGAGTCACCTCTCAGCCTCCTGTGTTCTAAAGAAAACAATTCAGCCTATTCAATCTTTCCTCATAGCTACAATTTCAAGCGCTGACAACGTTCTTGTAAATCTCCTCCATGCGGTCTCTAGTGTAATCATGTCCTTCCTGTTATGTGGTGACCAGAACTTGTACACAAAACTCCAGTTGTGGCCTCAACAGTGTCTTATATGGTTCCAGCATTGCAGTCCTGCTTTTGTATTCAATATCTCACCCAATGAAGCTAAGTATCCCATGTGCTTTGTTTATCATCTTATCCAAATGCTCTGCAACCTTCAGGGGCCTGTGGGCATGCACTCTGAGGTCTGTCATTTCCTCCATCTCTCCAAGTACCCACCTCTTTACAGTCCATTCCCTTGCTTTGTTTGCCTCACCTGCCCTCACCTAAATGCATAACTTTGCAACTTCGAGACGAATCCCATTTTCCACTTATCTGACTACTCAACCAAACCATCTATATTATTCTGCAGTCAACAGACATCCTTTTCATCATCAATTACCCAACCAAATTAAGTATCATCTTCAAATTTGCCAATCATGTCTTCCACATTGTAGTCTAAATTATTAAAGAAGATCACAACAATAATCACCCAACAACAAGCCCTGTGGAACAAAATTGGAAACCACTTTCCATTTGCAGAAACATCCATAACCATTATCCTTTGGTTCCTCTATCTGAACCAATTTTGGATTCAAATTTCCACATTCCCTTGTTTCAAAGGTTTAATTTTTCTTTACAGTCTGTCATGTCTTGCCAAATACCTTACTAAAGTCCACGCAGACAACATGCACTACTCTCATCAATCCTCCTTGCTACTTAAAAAATTCAATTAAGTTTGCAAGAGACAACCTTCCCTGACTAATTTGTGCCAGTCCAGGTAACAGTTAATCCTATTTCTCAATATTGATTCTGATACTTAGCCACCAGCACGGTCAGACTGACCAGACTATAGTTATTTGGTCTACCCCTCACATCATTTTTGAATCAACAACATTCACAGATCTCCGATCCTCTTTCTTTTGAAATCCCTCTGCCTTCCTACTTCTCTACACAGGGATATATGGCACAGAAACAGACCACTCAGCCCAACCTGTCCATCGCAAAATTCATTCTTTCAACCAGGTTTTGTGTCTCCTCTCCTAAATTTCTTATTATGATTCATTGTGCATGCTTTTAGAAATACTGTAGAATTTATTCCATGCAGTGCTTAGACATTTTTCTGCAACGTGTGCTATGATGGTGAATTAGAAGTTTCTCTTTTAAATAACACCATAACTTTAGAAAAATTAATTGTAATCTTTGTGTGTGGGCTTGTAAAGGATAAAATTTAAGATTTACTGTACTTGTGCGTTAATACTTTCAAAAGTATTGCTTCTTCCTATACATTTCTGTATTAATTATTAAATGGTCATTAAATTCAGCTCGATCTTCATCTATCAACATAATCATAAATGTTAGGAGTGACATTTCTGATCAGCAAGAGTGATGCACGTTAGAAAAATATCTTCTCTCAGGGGGTAGCAAATTTGTGGAATTTTTTAAAGCAGAGGGCTGTATAGTGATAAACGTTAAGAGTGGCATTTCTGATCAGCAACAGTGATGCATATTAGGAGATCTTCTCTCAGGGGGTAGCAAATCTGTGGATTTTTTTAACGCTGGAGGGGCTGGGTCATTAAATATACTCAAAGCTGAGATAAATAATTTTCACTCAGTAAGGAATTCAAAGGTTGTGGAGAAAATACAGGAAAGTGGAATTGAGGATTATCAGATCAATCATAGTCTCACTGAATGGCAGAGCAGACTCGATGGGCTGAATGGCCTTCTTCTGCTCCTATGTCTTATGGTCTTGCGTTTTTGAATGCAAGTTACTGCACTGCTTATCCAAGCAGGCATTACAATATGTGACTAACCTTCCTCTCGTGTGACCCTGCGTCCCTATGAAGTACTACGAGACCCAGATAAATGAACAAAAGCTGGAAGTGAGGTAAAATTGCATCCTGAGATTGAGCTAAGCAGCACCACTCCCAGCAACTTTACTTCACATTGACCATTTATTGCGTAAAGTTTACAAAAGACATGGCCACACCCAGCATGCCAGGCTGAGTTGCACAACTGTATCTAAACAAGGAGAATCATTATAGTGGAATTGTTACCTTTTGAGGGTACAGAGTAGTTTGTAATTTTTCCTGACCTGGTTCTTAGTTACCAAAATGTTCCTTCAAGGATTGCCAGTGACTTTTATTGGAAGTCCTCAAGCTCTTTTCCTCTCACTCATTGGATTATGATGCTGTCAGTAACAGGGGAATGTGAATGAGCGACTGTTACTCCTAATCACTAGAAGGCCTAAAAGGATATGCATGGTGAAGAACCTGAAAAAAACACCCAGAAAGTCCAACCCCACAAAGCACAGAATAAGAAAAACTAGTAACCTTGACAGAGGTTGGATTTTAATGACAGAATTGGGTGAACAGTTTCTGAAAGGATGAGGGCAACTTATGGGTATGTTTGAATACATTGATTCATTTAGGCTTTGCCATTTTTTAAAATGATATAACTTTTACCTTTAAGAGGTATGTAATCAGAATGTTGGAGAAGGGCATGATCAAAGAAATAGGAGTTCAGAAGATAAACAAGCATCATACTCCAGAGAATTGGCCAACACTGCTGTGATGCAGCTGCTCCAGGTAACATCCAGCTCCCACACCAAGGGGAGCACATCACCATCATTGGGCACCTCCCTGTATCTGACCGAATTCTGAGAGAAACTGCTAGTGTATTCCAGTACGAAATGACAACTGGAAGTGTTGCTGTAATTGACTGCACTGTTTTTAATCACCAAGAATAATGATGCGTTGTTTTCCCTGGAAACTGAAGCACTGGAGAGAAGCATGGCCAGCAGAGAGTAAATTATAAATTTTATCTCTAGCAATTATTCAACAAGTTAAGATAATGTTAACTTAAAGGTAAGTTATTAAATCAATAATTTCAAAAGTTCTGTAGGCTAATTATTTGAATAATTAACATCTCCAGAAACGAGAGGCTAATTTGCCTGCGGTACATACCATCATTAGCTGCCTCTGTGACAAATTATGTCAGAGTCAGAATCAGAATCTTTGATTTAATGACATGAAAAAATGTATATTATCTTGTGAATAGCAGATACAGTAACCACCCTGTACCAATTAACTGAAATAAGGCCACCAAATCTTGCAAGTGCAAATCTTGATTCTTGCTTAACAGGCCTGATTTAGAACCTGACTCATTCAGGCTAATTAATCTGGGGAAGTTTGAACAATCAAACAATTTTTATCTACATATCTAGTGAGAGAAAATGATTTCTGAACTGTAACTGTTCTAGTTGGTGATATCACTGCAGTGCAGTTCCTCCTCAAGTTTGTGCACAAAAAATGTACAAGGTCTGGCCACTTTCAAAAGGCGTTTTTGGCCTAAATTCCTCTAACTGGTCAGATACAGAGAAGGACAAAATGAATTTCATTGTTAAAAAGAGGGTAATGTTAACTTTGTACTAAGGAACAAAATGGGTGATAACAGATCTGATGTTTGGAAATAGAAATTGCTCACAATGTTTTCAAAACTGTGGGTCAAAGTACTTCTTCGTTGATACAGTCATATGATTGATTAATAACATGGACAATGGATAATTCCTCAGTTGGAATGCTACGTACATGTGAAAACTTGAAATGCTTTCAGATGGCATTCCCAAACAGCAGCTTATAGATGAAAATAGGAAGAGAATAATAAAAAATTCTTGAGGGATACCATAGTGAAACAATGCAAAGCATGTCATTTTGAGAAATTAATATTATTGTGATTAAAATTATGTATATGAAATAGTTATTTAAATTATAATTTCATATGTTGGTACAGGTATCTCCCATTTAATAAGGATTGCATGTTGAAGGACTTTCTTAAATAATGTGTTTTAGCATGGATTCTGAACACTGTTGTTGATTTTTCGGTGCACATGCTCACCAAAAAGCACTATAGATATCACCACAGGCTATTACTTCACATGCAGCAGCAATCACGCTTATCAAGAAGCATTGCACATGCAGTAGCCAAAAAGATGCGGTTTGAGAAGGAGGAGAAGCAGAGGGACTTAGGGAGGAGTTCCACAGATGAAAACCCAGGCAGTCAACAGCTCTGACATAAATGATAGGCAAAGGGAGGACGAGAAGGAAAACAGTGTCAACAGACCTTATGATTCAAAAGCAAATACTGAAATTTGCAGGGCCAAGTGAGAGAGACTTGGGAGTTTAAGCCTGAAGATTTTAAATTGAATGTATTGCAGACTGACGTATGTCAGTGGAAATGGGATGGTAGGACTTGGAGGAGGACATGAGGACAGCTTAGATTTGGAATTGTTGGATTCTATGGAGCAAAAGAACTGGACGTCAGGAGGAACAATGAGAGAAACAGTGACCCAAGGTAATAAAAATGCAGGTAAGTATGTCAGAACTTCCTTTGCTAATATCCCCTATGTTTCAAGAGGCAATAGATGCTATTTAAAAGCATTTAGTATTTCATAGTATGGTGAGTTAATACCTGGTACAAATACTGCAGTCAAATTCTTTGTTTGGCTTTTTTGACTTATTTTGAGGCTCCTTCTCCACATGCTGTTTACTTGTTGGATCATTTTCATTTTCTCTCCTTTCTTCTTTTGCCATCTGATGGACATGTCTGCGATGTTTATTCATCTGCCTTCTATACTTGAATGTCCGTCCACAAAACTGGCAGAGATAAGGTCTTGCCTCATTATGCCTCGCCATATGTTCCTTCAATTCAACTCTGACAAAAGCAGAAAATAATTCCATCTCATGCTGCAAAAAAAGAAGCACATCACCCTGCTCATACTTAAATTGCTGTATTTTGAACAGACTTACAGTTCATTGAAGTAATAGGTCCAATGATTGAACAATAAGCTCATTAAAAATTAGATTCACTTTAATAAAAACATTAATTTTCCCTTCAGTTTTTTTGTCTTTGTTCCACCTAAAGATGTATATCCTTGCTTTGGAGTGGTTCCACAGAGAATCTATTACCCCTCATATCAGGGTGTGGACATTGCTGAGAAATTAATATTATCTGAGACAGTTAAGGTTAGGCAGGCAGATGAAATCATCAAGGCAACAAGGTCGCCAATGCTCCAATCGTACCTGCCCTTCTGATGAGGTCGAAAACAGTGGGAGAGAGGTGACTCTTTGTTAAATATACAGATCCTACTCCACATGGCTTTATTAGGATCTGACTGCTATTTTAACAATGTTCCTGAGCAGGGAAGCCATTGTAACTTTTTCAAGAGGTCAAATCTGTGGAAGAGTCAAAATCAGTCGAGGCCCAAAGAAGTTGATCTCTTAAATAATCTCTGTGTGGGCTTTATGGCGTTTATGGGGCTTTACTTAAATTTCAGTCTAGGACTTCTTGCCCCAAATCAGCAGTTTAAAGCCCTCAAGATTTGACACCAAGTTCAACAGTTTCTGGTCATAACCTTTGACCCAGTTTCTTTCTTGTTTTTGGGCAGTGATTTTTTGTAATGATTATGCTACTCCGATGTACATCCTTGCTGGATTCATCTTTTACTACAAGTCTTCACTTAATGTTGTGATGCATTCCTGAAAATCACATCTTTTTGTGGTTCCTTTGGAAACAGTGAGTCAACGTGAATGTCAGACTTGGGAAACTTCCTACCCAAAAAGCAAGTTCAAATGGGTTACCAAATATGAGTCACTCTGTGCAGTCCCAACTGAAGCAAATCACAAGATGAAATGCACCACTGAACATACAATAAATGAAATACATACAGTTGCCTTCCAGCCAATTAGAGGTTTCTCCTTTGGTTTCCCCACTTTTATCCTTTCTCTTAAAACTTTCCTCTTTTCTGACTTTTTCCACTTTTGATGTAAGGTCTTTGGTCTGTAATATTAACTCTGTCTTTCTCTTTCTACAGATGCAGCATGACCCATTGAATGTATCCAGCATTTTCTGGTTTTATTCAAAACAGGGATTGTGTTTTACAGATGTTGAGAATGCATTTTATGAGCCATAGAAATAGGTGTATTTTCATGGATAATAATGTCTTCCCTGACATACAATCTGACATGCAGAAAGTAGTATTGACTGCTTTTCTGGCTGTAGGTCTTGGGTGATGGCTCATGTTGTGTTCATTGCCTTGTCATCAGTAGTACATTAAGCTGATTTTTACTGCAATTAACAAATGGGCATTGTGTGCCTTGAAATAGTTGTAACAGGCCAATAATTAATTTTATTGGGCTATAAACTGAAATGGAAGTTGGACTACTATAACTGAAATACCAGGACAATTTTAAAAAAAACAAATGCTGCATACATTGAGCTATAACAAGGAGAATTTAAAACTGAGCAGCTCCAAGAATTTTTTGAGTTAAGGAAATTCTGCATGACAACGCCCACTGATTGGTTGAGCTGCAATTTATTAAGAGGAGCCAGGAGCCACAGAGGAGGAGAAACATTCAGCCTGCAGACAGAAACCATCCATCTCTCCCACTCTCTCACCATGTGGCGAAAAGACAGACAAACCAAGAAAGTTTCGAAGGAAGAATCCATACAAGAAAAGACTCGAGTCCAGCAGATCAACCATCGAATCAAAAGATGATCTTCACCCTTCAGACAACAGTGGATCATCATTGCTAAAACCAAAGGATTGTGAGAAGATAACATCCTACTTTGTGGTCTGGAATTTTGATCTTCAGAATTTTGTTAACCTTGTATATATGATTTTTGCCATCCATGGTATAAGCATTAAATGGCTTGTCTTTTGTCTATCTTAATCATGAATGAGTGTGTGTGTATTTGGAGTTATGAAGTTTAAGTATAGTTTAAATTGCATTGTAGATTAGCAATCTTTTATTTTCGCTGCTCTTGTTCAAATTAAAGTGTGTTAGAAAAATAACTTTATTGTATTACTGACAAGATCTAGCATGTATTTGTCCTGTAGAGCAGTCAGGCAAATTGGTCATTTGGGTTGGTCTCATTGGAAGTTTATACATTTATACATTTGTGACAGTTTGTGAAGTGGGGCACAATTATTGGCATACTCTTCCCAGTTAAGTCTTGACATTTTGTAAAGAACTTTGAATGCCAGAAATGAAATGCAGAGAACACTTTATGACAACTGTCAAACCTTTTCAGGATTCGTGCAGTATTTGAACTGCACTGTTAAACAAACAGGAACGTGTGATTTTTCATTGCAAAAGACCCTGCTTTTGGGGAACATAAAATTATTAGGAAAATGGCAAGTTTTCGCAGATGTTTTATTAAAACAAACCTATGATGCTGCTTGACCTGCTGTGTTCATCCAGCCCTGCACCTTGTTGTCTCGGATTCTCCAGCATCTGCAGTTCCTACTATCTCTAGCTTATCTATGTAATCAATTCTTCCACAATCCCCATTCTGTTCCTGGCTCAAGGGTAAGAAAAATGCAGACTATACATCCAGCAAGTTACGCATGCTGACTCTAGTTAGTTACACCACTAAGTAAATGAAACACTTACGTTCTGAAGAATCTCTTGCCACAGTTGGTACATCCATGTGGCTTAATACTATTGTCATGGTTACACAGATGTTTATAAACCTTGCTCCATGCTTCATCTAAGAAAAAAAAGAAAACACTGTTTGTTGTAAATCATTACAGTGCTTATGCTTCGATCAATATCTCAAAGGTGAAGGCAGTGCTTTTTTGAGAGATAGGAGGAAAGTATTCCTGCTTTGTATATGGAAAATATATATGGTCATATAAATAGTTATGTATGTTTTTCCCAAAAACATTGGTGCTGAACAGTTCTCAGCTAGGGCAGGCAATAAAAGGTATACTTCTTTGTGGTGTTACAGTTTAGTGGGGGAAGGCATCCATGATTCCTGGCTAGTCACTGTCTGGCAATCCCTATTGGATTTGTTAATGTTGGGCAATAACCTGTCTGTCTTTGTCATATCTCATCAATGAGTTATAATAACTTGAATGTAGTACTGCAGGATTGCCATAACCTGCACAATTATGAAAAGAGTCAATGAACTCACATAACAGAAAAAGGGAGAAAAAACAATTTTCATTTCTAACACCTTCAGTATATATAAAAATATCCCAAAGCATTTCATAGGTGAGTTATCAAATAAACTTGAAAAGGTAGATAAGACTTTTTAATGAAACAGATAGCTGCAAAATCATCTCTCTTTGTTGCCAAGATCACCAACGTCACTGACTGTGAGAACACCCACACTATTCAGAATAGCTCCAATAACTGCATGGAGGCAGTGACAGAAGACCTGCCTGGTAGTAAATCTGGTTCTAATGATCACACCACCACACTGAAATGTCCAGTATTTCCTTCAATATATAGATACTCAGCAAAACCACCGTGGCATTACTTCTGGTAAGCCTGACATTACGCAATATTCCTGCTATGGAACAATTTTATACACAGCATGAAGATACTGTATGGTTATAGTTAACCTGGCCATATTATTTAACTGCTACTTATTCATTAAAAAAAAAGCTGAGGTTATCTGGATATCTATTAATGTTGGTAAAGACAATTTGTATATAAATAGGTGTATGTAAATTTACAAGTCCAAATAAAACTAAAATAGTTCCCTTGTACAAATATATCCGATACTTCAAAACTTGACAGACTCCACGTATCTATACACTCACAGATCACCAGCGACATTACTCACATGAAGTCAAAAGGACGATGATTAAAAATAGTCTGTACAGGTTTCAGTACATCACTGTTTAAATAGATTCCTGAGTGCTGACCTAAAATGTAAATACAACTGATTGTTCTACTCAAAGTTTTAATGATAATTAAACCCTCTATTTCTCCCAAAACCCTTGGTAAATGCATCATTACTTTTAATTTATACATTTTAGCCATTTCTAGATGCCATGATAAGCAAGTAAGTGACTGGATAGAAGTGGGTGACTTGTTCAATAAAAGGTATCCAATTTATATATATTATCATTTTTAGATTTAGATTTCAAACTAGTCGAATATAGATAGTGGTTAATTTTGTGAAGGCTTTAAAAAAAAAAAAGGGTTTTTGCAGAACCATGACCTAATCCAGAATGTATCAGAGGGCAGGTGCCCTGGAGTGTTAATGGAAGATTTTGATATTGTGGGGTTTACGATACAGGGAGTGAACTTTAAATGGCATTAACTTGTTTATTTAAAAGAATAATCAAGGAATGATTTTAGTTCAGAAACTTAGAGATTGAAAGTTTGTAGGGCAGTTTTTGATAAGACCTGACTGGGGTTGAAGTTAACATAGTTCCTCTCCTAGAGTAGAGTGTGAGACCATTCAGGGAAAGTTCAGTCACCTTGGTGTAAAAGTTTAACTTGTGAAACTTCCAGACAAAGGTGTTTGGTTAGAAATATGGAAATTATTAAAAGACCAAGACAGTCTAAGTTTTGTCAGTATTCATGTGAAAGACTTCATGGGTGATAGGTCAGAACCTAGGAAAATTAGTTAAGTCCAATTTAAAGATTTTATATAGAAGGGTAATTTCTCTGGATTTGAACAGCTGTAAAGTGATGGTACTGGGGATAAGGTGAGACTTTGTTTGAGATCTGTTTTAAGATTTTTCAAACTATAGTCTATATTAGATAGCCTAGCTGGTTTTCTGTTACCTTTTATGCAATAAACATTTGCTTCATTATTCAAAAAATCTGATGAGGGAAGGGAAGGGGATGGAATGGGATGATTTATTGTCTTGTGTATTTTACAGTGAAATAAAACAAAATACAGTGAAAAGCTTTCATCTGTCATCATAATCTGGTGCCATTTTGATATTTTAAGACCAAGAGAAAATGAAAAGAACTAGCTTAAAGAGAAGTCCGTCTAAGTACAAGTTCCAAGCCAGCTCACAATCACCACCTCCTTGCCAGACCCAACTAACATTGAAGTTGCCAATCCTCAGGGGCCATCTTTTGCTGCTGGGCTGATTCGCCTTTACCATGGTGTCCTTCCGCCACCGTTTCACCTCCACTAGTGCTGGACCCAGCCGGTATCAAAATCGCTGATCCTCAGGCGCCACGGTTCGCTGCTGGGCCTACCTTGCTGATGTCACCTCAGAACTTGCTCACCTCTGCACTGGGCTCACTCTCCCATTTTAAACAAATATATATGAGCTATCAAGCCAGATCTTATTCTGGGATCCAATTTGTCCAGCAGTGACACCATCTGAAACCTTAACACTTTTTAGGTCACTTCAGAGATCAATTAAAATTCAAGAATGTTATTGTGAGATTGGAGTCAGAAACGGGTCAGATTTGGTAAGGAATGCAAATTATTGTCACTCCTCATATTATTGAGACAATTGGATTTTTATGACAATCTGACAGCGTCATGACTTTTATTGGTGTCACTTCTTATTTCCAAATCTTAAAACTGAATTGAAATTCTGAAACTCAAAGGGAGGCATTTGAGCTCATGCTCACTGGATTATTAGTCAAAAGGCTCTGAATTAAAGGTCCAATAAAATAATCACAAGCTGTAACCATAGTTGTGCACTCTTACTGTACATTATGCAATTGTAATTGATTTTAAACAAGAAACAAGTATTCTGATGGTGTAAGATTTAAAGAAGAAATATTCATTCGTATGATTTGTTTTACGAGGGCAGGATTTTCTTAAAACTTTCTCACCCAATTAAGACACTGTTGGAATCTCGACAGATGTAGCCAAGTCCCACAGGGAAGGAAATCTGCCATCCTTACCTGGTCTGGCCTACATGTGACTCCAGACCAAAGCAATGTGGTTGACTTTTAAATGCCCTCTGGGCAATTAGAAACGGGCAATAAATGCTGGTCCAGCCAGCAATGCCCACATCCCATGAATAAATAAAAAATGACCAGATAATTTCTTTTTAGCGATGTTGGTTGAGAGATAAATATTGATCAGATCCCTACTTCTCTTCAAATAGCGGCATGAGATCTTTTACATCCAAGACAGCAGACAGAGCTTCTGCTTAAGAAGCTCAAAAAGAGTGAGCACCTCTGACAGTGTAGCATTCACTCAGCACCACACTGGAGTGTAGATTATACTCAAGTCTCTGGAATGATCTTGCATCTGTGACCTTCTGATTTAGGTGGAAGTGTTACCAACAGAGGCAAGGTCAACAGTCACGTTTTCATATTGTTGGCCATATTACAATAGACAACTTTTGTAGCACGGGCTATTAAATTAACTTATACAGTATTTAACTTGGGCAATACCAAAGCATATTGCGGTTGAACAGATATGTTAATTGCTTGTCAGTTGTGGTCACATATATGCAGATGGTGAACACATTGGTTGTTACTTAAATACATATAAGGAGACAAATACTGACACTTCTGTAGTTGTGTTAGGAAGCATGCGTTTGTCATGTTTCACTGTATGAATAAATCTAAATTGAATAAATACTAGCTGTGGCTACAACACAGAAAATGGCTTTTCAGCCCATCATGTGTGTTGGTATGTCGAGTTCTTTTCCTCAGCTCCTCCTCCATGTCCTGTTTCATTCTAAAAGCTATTCATTAATAACAATTTTCAGCTTTGATGAAGATCCTTACCAGAAACACAAACATTAATTTGTCTGTTGTCTTTTGTTTCCAGCTTTGTCTGTTTCAACTCTGTATTCTCAGCTTCTGCAATACTTTTCATCAGTGATTAAGGCTGCAGATCCAGCTCAGTACAGACTATGGGCACTATGACTTGTTTTATTGCTTTTATGAAGAACCTTATGATGTCTGAGATAGATACACAACCATTCTCTTCCCCATTCCCATAACCCTCACCAATGCAGCAGGACATGCTAGGGTGGTGTCCAATGGGTCTTCATTGTTTTCTGGTTGTGCTGCCACATGACTAAGCTTCATCTGGGAGTTTGGATCATGTGTTGAGGTGCTGAAGAGGAAAAAGGCAGCTGCAAAAATCACAGTCAAGCCCAGCCCTGTGCCCACATATGTGCATTTCTCAACAAGAGTTACTAGAAAGGAAGCAGCAGAGGAAATGCTGGGTGATTTTGCTCCTCTCAAATGCTAAGGTCAACTGTAGTTACCTAACTACTACAGTACATGAGATAAGTGATTGGACACAATGAAGGCATCAAATGAGGAAGCATCTGACCAACAAGTTGAGTACCATATCTTAAAGTCTATTTACCCAGTGAATACTCAAAATTATTCAAAAACATAGTAAAGAAATTCAGAGCACCTGAGTCATACTGACGCAGTAAACTATTGTGAAGAGACATTCTCCAAGCACTGTTACTTAAAAAATTGGAAGTTCCTATTTTTAAGAACACATTTTAGTAGCGTTTCATCAGAAGCAATGAATAAAAAATATTTAATATATAAAATCTAGATGAAGGCTGACTGCAAATAAAATGCAATGAGTCAGGAACTTTTTGTCCTGAGGAGTCAGGAATGAATAAACCTACCAGTAAAGTCACACTTTGTACACTTAAAAGCCTCTTCATAATGGCAAGCAGAATGCAAGTCTCTCACATGCTCAGATGAATAAAAAGATGGGCACTTTGAACAGTAGAAGGGGCCTGACTTTTGTTGATGGGTGACCTCATGCAGTTTCCAAGCATTCCGCCTGGCGAAAACCTTTTTACAGAACGAGCAACTGTAACTCAACCCTTTGGCATTGTGGCTCCTGAGATGCTGTTCCATCAAGGTCCACTCAGTCATGCAGGAGCTGCAATACATGCATTTAAAACCTGTGTCACTATCATGACAGTTCAAGTGGAGGTTATAAATGTCTTTTGACTTAAAGTCTAGTTTGCACATCTTGCAAATATAGCATTCATTTTTCAAGCCAGTTTGAGAGTTTCCAGTATTATTGGAGCGTCGGTTTACACTCCGTTTTTTTTTACTAAGATGCCTTTGCTTCTTTAGAATGATACTATCATCACCGGTTTCCACGTTCATTGTATGAGTTTTATTACTATTGGATATCCGGCAAAGGCCTAGTGACATAAGGTGTTCTGACTGAGCTTCCTCATCATCTTCAGCCACAGCTGTCCGAACAGGCCCTGATACCACAGAGTGAGGTCCATCTAACTGAAAAGGCGTAGACTCCACTTCAAACAGTGTGCTGACCTCACATGCATCAGCAGAGTGAAGATTATCATTGTGCCCTCCCAGTCCCATTTCACAGGACACGGGGCTAATGTTGTGAAGCATCCTGTACATAGGAAGAAGAAATGACATCCTCTCTAGATTGTCCACAATAATGTCCTCAGCCACTTTACTTTCAGTGTCAATTTCTACATCAGTACTGTACGAGGAGTCATGTTCTGTGTGACATGTGCTCGTTACCTTCTTAGAAAGCTGATCATTGCTCTTGGGTTTGTGAAGATTTTCAATGTGGGAGTTCATTTTGACCTTCAGGCTGCTGGCATATGTGCAGATTTTACATCTGTAAACTTCGACAAGGAATATTTCCACAAAATCTTTAAACTGGTTCTCAACATTTTCCATATTGCTTACACATACACTGGATGTGGTAGTCTCTTCTGACAAATGTAAAGTCACTGGTGGAATGTTCTGGTACACAAATTTAGCTTCATTCATCTTCTTTAAAATGATAGTATCTGCAAATATAGATCACAAATTGATATGGCAAACTGTAAAAGCCATTCATTAACTACAGGTCTAGTTCTTACAGCTGTGTAAATCCTTCTTCAAAGTTTACGATGTGGAAAATTGTAGAATATAGCTTTTAAAATCCAATTCATGACAGAAAATATACCAAAGAAACAATTAACTTTGCAATTTTAGATTATGAAGTACGATATTACTTATAGCAGCTGCTGAAAATGAGGCAATTAAATAAATCAAAATGACAAAGGAATCAGGGATTGAAATTCCTTGCGTCAATAACTTCAACAAGGATGCTGGCATGATTACAGCATGAGATTTTCCATTATTAATCACAATTAATTTATCGTTAGGATTAAACAGGCCTTGCTTCTCTTTCATCCCACACTCGGTTAAAGTATGGTGCACAGTGCAACACTGTATATTTCCTTGGCTTATGAAACTTTCAGTAAAAGTGGGTTACTCAGGTTGCTCCTGTGTATGTTCATCATCGTAAAGACAAACTTTTATCCCCATATTGACCTAAAATCATGTACATAAAGATACTGGCAGACATTTCCTTCCAAGCCAGTGCCACAGTTCTAGGCCCAATCCTGTTGGAGTCTAGTTACTGCCAGACTCTTATTACCATTAGCAACAGTATACAAGATCCATTACTAATAAAAGGATTCACAGTTCAATTTATAACTTCAATACAACCCCATGCATTCTGCCTGTGGTGAAAGTGACAGAATGTTTATGATTTATAACATAATTTTAACAATAGCTGTTCCAAAGGACAAATGGAACAGAAAGCTTTAAAGAATTAAAACAGAAATAATATTTTGGTCATTGAACTACCCGAGATAAGCCATTTCAAGTATTCTGCCCTTCCCCCTGAACTTCTAATTTTACTCCTTGTTGTAAAAGGTGTCATATGGTCTGTGAACATATAAGGGGACTCAGATGGGACGTTGTGGGCAGTGATAGTGTTTCTATCAGATAACATGGTTCAAGTCCAACCTGTTCTTTTTCATTTATTCATTCATGGGATGTGGACACCACTGGCTGGGCCAGCATTTACTGCCTGTCCCTAGCTGCCCTTGTGAAGGTGGTGGTGAGCTGCCTTCTTGATGCAGGTACAATTACAATGTTTAAAATACATTTGGATGGATGTATGAATAGGAAAGGTGTAGAGGGATATGGGCCAGAGCAGGCAGGTGGGACTAGTTCAGTTTGGGATTATGATCAGCATGGACTGATTGGACCGAAGGGTCCATTTCTGTGCTGGATGACTCTATGTTGCAGGCCTCGTGTTGTTGGTTGACCAACAATGCCCTTAGAAAGGGAATTCCAGGATTTTGACACAGAGACAGTGAAGGAACAGTGATGCATTTCCAAGTTAGGATGGTGAGTGGTTTGGAGGAAAATTTGCAGATGGTAATGTCCCACGTATCGGCTGCCCTTGTCTTTCTAGATATAAGTGGTTATGGTTTTGGAAGGAACTGTCTGAGGATCTTTGCTGAATTTCTGCAGTGCATCTTGCAGATTGTACACACTGCTGCTACTAAGTGTGGATGGTGGACACAGTAGATGCTTGTGGATGTGATGTTATTCATGTCGGCTGCTTTATCCTGAAGGATGTCAAGCTTCTTGAATGGTGTTGAAGCTGCAGTCATCCATGCAAGTGGGTAGTATTCCATCACACTCCTGACTTGCGTCTTGTAGATGGTGAACGGGCTTTGAGGAATCAGGAGATGAGTTACTCACCGCGGTTATCCTAGCCTCTGACCTGCTCTTGTAGCTACTATGTTTATGGAGGATGCAATGGCTTAGTAGTATTATTGCTGGACTGTTAATCCAGAGACCCAGGTAATGTTCTAGGGACCTGGATTTGAATCACACTATGGCAGATAGTGGAATTTAAATTCAATAAATATCTGGAATTAAGAGTCTAATGATGACCGTGAATCCATTGCCAATTGTCAGAAAAACCCATCTGGTTCACTAATGTCCTTTAGGGAAGGAAACTGTCATCCTGACCTGGTCTGGCCGACTTGTGACTCCAGACCCACAGAAACGCGGTTGACTCATAACTGCCCTCTGGGCAATTAGGGATGGGCAATAAATGCTGGCCTAAGCAGCAACACCCTCATCCCGTGAATGAATAAAGGAAAAAAAATGTGGCAAATCCAGATTAGCTTCTGGTAAAAGGTAATCCCAAGGATGGTGATAAGGGAGATTCAGTAATGGTAACACCACTGAATGTCAAGAGGCAGTGGTTGGATTGTCTCTTATTGGAGATGGCCATTACCTAGGATTTGTGTGGCATGAAAGTCACTTGCAACTTATCAGCCCAGCCTGGATATTGTCCAGATTTTGTTACATTTGCACATGGACTGATTCATACCTGAGGAGTTGCAAATGGTGATGCACATTGTGCAATCTTCAGTAAACATCTCTATTATGGAGGGCAGGTCATTGATGAAGCAGCCTATGACACCACCCTGAGGAACTCCTGCAGAGACGTCCTGGAGCTAAAATGACTGGCCTCCAACAACTACAACCATTTTCCTACGTGCCAGGTATGACTCTGACAAGCAGAGAGTTTGCCCCCCAATACCCATTGATTCCAGTTTTGCTAGGGCTCCTTGATGCCACACATGGTCGTATGCAGCCTTGATATCAAAGGTTGTCACTCTTCCCTCACGTCTGGAATTTAGCTCTTTTGTCCATGTTTGAACTAAGGCTATAATGAGGTCAGGAGCTGGCAAAACCCAAACTGGGTGCCACTGAGCAGGTTGTATCTGAGCAGGAAGCTGTTGATGACACCTTCCATCACTTTACTGATGATCGAGTGTAGACTGATGAGGCAGTAACCGGCCCAGGTTGGATTTGTCTTGCATTTTGAGTACAGGACATACCTAGGCAATATTCCACATTGTCAGATAGATTCCAGCGTTGTAACTGTTCTGGAACAGCTTGGCTAGGGAAGTGGCAAGTTCTGGATCACAAGTCTTCACTACTATTGCCGGAATGTTGTCAAGGCCCATAGCCTTTGCAGTGTTCAGTGTTTCCAACCATTGCTATCATGTGGAGTGAATCGAAACAGCTGAGGACTGGGATCTACAATCATAGAATCCCTACACTGTGGAAAGAGGCCATTCAGCCCATCAAGTCTGGATCAACCCTCTGAAGAGCATCCCACCCAGACCCAGCACCACCCCCATCCCTGTAACCCTGCATTTACCACAGCTAATTCATTTAGTCAATATATCCCTGGACACAGGGGCAATTTACCATGACAAATCCACCTAACCTGCACATCTTTGGACTGTGGGAGGAAACCAGAGCACCCAGCATAAACCTATGCAGACACAGGGAGAATGTGTAAACTGTACACAGTCATCCAAGGATGGAATCAAACCCTGGTCCCTGGCACTGGGCAACAGCAGTGCTAAACACTGAGCCACTGTGCCGCTAATGCTGGGGACTACTGCAGGAGACAGAGATGGATCATTCTCTTGGTATTTCTGGCTGAAGATTACTGTGAATGCTTCAACACTTAAGAATAGAATAGAATCCCTACAGTGTAGAAACAGGCCACTTGGCCCAAAAAGTCCACACTGAACCTCTGAAGAGCATCCCACCCAGACCCATACCCCGACCTTATCCCTGCATTTCCCATGGCTAACTCACCTAGCCTACACATCCCTAGACACTATGTGTAATTTGGCATTGCCAATCTACATAACTTGCACATCTTTGGACTGTGTGAGGAAACCAAAGCACCCAGCAGAAACCCACAGAGACCATACAAACTCCACACAGACAGTCACCCAAGGGTGCAATCGGACCCAGGTCCCTGGCGCTGTGAGGCAGCAGTGCATGCCACTGAACCACTGTGCCACCACTACATTTGCATTGATGTGCTGGGCTCTTCCATCATTGAAGATGGCAATATTGTGGCACCTCCTCCTCCAGTGAATTATTTAATTGTCCATCACCATTCACAACTAAATATGGCAGGACTGCAGAGCTTCGATTGGATCTGTTGGCTGAGTGATCATTTATCCTGTCTATCAATTGCTGCTTATGCCATTTTGGAAGCAAGTAGTCCTGTTTGGCAGCTTCACCATGTTGATACCTCATTTTTAGGTATGCCTGGTGCTGCTCCTGGCATGTCCTCCTGCACTCTCCACTGAACGAGTGCTGATTCCTTGGCTTACTAGTAATGGTTGAATGGGGGAATACGTCAGGCCGTGAGGTTGCAAATTGTGCTGGAGTACAATTCTGCTGCTATTGGTGGCCCACAGGGCCTCATGCATACCCAGGCTTGAGTTGCTAGATTTGTTTGAAATCTGTCCCATTTATCATGGTGATAGTGCCACACAAAACAACAGAACGTGTCATAAAATGTCTGGACAGATTGATTAAAAATATGTTTTAATAAACAGGACTCCTTTGCAAAGAGACTGGAGTTCTACTGCACGACCTGGTCTGATAGATTCCTGAAAAAAGGTCTCTGACCTTTGGTGAAAAAAGCTGGCCCGCAATGCCAACATATTTTAAAGATAAACATTCTGCAGATAGCTATGCTTACAGTAACATAAGAGAATGATGCAGATATTAAACAGTACTCCCAGCAACAAAACATGCGGAAAACTACCAGTAACCAGGGCAACAGGAAATGCTGACCCTCGCATCCAGAGATGGACAAAGGGACAAAATATGACAACAGTTTAAATTCTTGTCAATAAACTTGTCAACAGTCAATTTATAGGATTACAGACCTCAGGTAGAGCCAATCGTCATGAAATGGAAACTTTTCACATTGGCACTTGCTCTGCTTGGGCTATCGATAAGACAGAGAGCCGGAACATCCCCCACTGAACTCCCGGAAGCTGAGCCTGGCGCATGCGCTCTGGTGGGTTGTAGTCCTGTAACGTCACCGACTCCAAGACAAGGACTTCAATTCCCAGAATGCAATCGGACCCCACCATATGACGTCACATGTCTGTCAGCTTCCTTTTCACGTCCCCTCCCAAAGTCAGGATGTACGCAAAGGGACTTTGTTTCTGCCAGTAACTTGGTTTACAGCATTTTGGCAGAGTCAAATATAAACAATTGCATTGATTTCTTAAAACGGTTTGCTTTTGTTGGCTTGTCAAAGGAACTATAAATCTTTTCCTTCAGAATCCCAACGTTTATCCAGGCCATTCAGGAATGATTTTAAGAAATATAGTTGCGCACAATGTGGCATAGTAATTTGGATTTGTCTTCTAGAGGGTTCTAGGGGTGCAGTGGGAGTATCACTTCTTCTAAGACTACAGATCTGTGTTCAAATCCTATCTGCTCCAGAGATGAGTAATATTTCTTTAAACAGGATGATTAGGAAAATATATGGAATTGTCTTCTGCGAGTAATGGAACAGCGTATTCGATTTACCAACTGAAGACTGTTCTTTTGCATGGCTATCTGCAGCCCAATTACATACATTGGTTGCTTCACCAAGGCACTGTACGGCTGCAATAAAACTTATCTTTTACATCCCATTTCCCTTGCAATAAATGACATTAAATTTGCATTCCTAATCATTTGCTGTACCTGAAGAGTAACTTTTTGTGATTCTTGAGCCAGGACAGCCAGATCCAACTGTACTACCAAGATGTGGTTTTTCTATTCTTCCTGCCAAAGTGGACCAGTTCATATTCAGAGAATCCCTACAGGGTGGAAAGAGACCATTCGTCACACCAAGTCTGCAACTTCCGTCCGAAGAACACCCCTCACGGAACCAGACCCCTACCAAATCCTTGTAACCCCACATTAACCGTGACTAATCCATCTAGCCAGCATTTCCCTGGATACTATGGACAATTTGGGGGCAGCACAGTGGCTCAGTGGTTAGCACTGCTGCCGCTCAGCACCGGGGACCCAGGTTCGATTCTAGCCTCGGGCAACCGTCTGTGTGGAGTTTGCACATTCTCCCTGTGTGGGCATGGGTTTCCACTGGGCATTCCAGTTTCCTCCCACAGTCCAAAGATGTGCAGGCTAGGTGGATTGGCCTTGCTAAATCGCCCATAGTGTTCAGGGATGTGTACATTAGGTAGGTTAGAGGGAAATGGGTCAGGGTGGTGCGGACTTGTTGGGCCAAAGAACCTGTTTCTACACTGTAGGGATTTTATGATTTAGCACGGCTCTTCAACCTAACCTAATATCTTTGGGCTGTGGGAGGAAACCAGAGCACCATGGAGAAAATGTGCAAACTCCACACAGATGGTCACCCAAGGCTGGAATCAAACCCAGGTCCCTGGTGCCGTGAAGCAGCAGTGCTAACCACTATGCCACCCCCATTTTATGTTTTCCAATAATATTTTCCCACAACATACTCCATCTGGCAAATTTTTTGCCCTCCCACCACCAGTCTTTGTCCCTTTGTACAATCTTCAACTCTTGACAACTTATCTTCCTATTTATCTTAGTGTCATTGGCAAATTAGCTGCCACATATCTGTCATGTAAATCATTGACATACTATTACAAATAATTGAGGCCCCAGCACGGATCCCTGTGGCACTTCACTAGTTTCTGTTCGTCAACTGAAAAAAAACATCCTTAATCTCTGCATCCTGTTAGCTAATCAATCTTTTCTCGATGCTAATATGTTACTTCCTATATCTTATGTAGTAACCTCTGATGTGGCACATTATCAAATGCTTTGAAAGTCCTATTACACCATATATGTATGCATGTTCCTTGTCACTTCTTCAGAAAGCTCCAATAAATACAGTTTCCCTTTCACAAAGCCTGATCAGCCCTATTCTGCTTGATCGCATTCTGATTTGCTTCCTTAATATTGGATTCTAGCCATTTCCCTATGACAGATGTTATGTTAACTAGCCTATAGTTTCCTGCATTTTGTCTCCTTCTTGCCTTGAAGGCAAAGCATTACATTAGCTACTTTCCAATCTACTGGGACCATTTTGGAATCTAAGTAACCAATCAGTGCCCTTTTATCACACAGCATAAATTGTCGTAATCATTTTAAATTTGTCATTCTTGTGTTTGGCATGATGTGCAAAATGAACATCTTTGGTTGACATGTCTCTCTTTTCAGCAATGCAGTTAATTATTCAGCAAAATAAAACAATATTGATAAGATTAGAGATTGGCCATATTTATCGTCAATAAGCATGAAGTGAAGAAACGTCATAAACATGGACCATGTATAGTACACACCTCATATCCTTGGAGAGTTAGCAACAGAGCTGCCCTTGCAAAACCTGACAGCAATGTCCACTGGCAGGCCAGGTATACCAACGTAAGCATCCTCTCCCAGGCCAATATCACAGTATCGATCATGCACGACTAGCTGAGATAGACAGGCTCCATTGTCTGCATGCCCAACACAAGACATCCTAAATGAGTACTCTGCTCTGAACACTGCAATGATAAGTGATCACTAAGAGGGAAAAGGAAGCACTACAAGAACACCTTGAAAGTTTCCCTAAACAAATTCAACATCTCTACCGACACATGGAAATCACTTGCCCTAGACCGCACAAACTAGAGAAGAAGCATCCTCGAAGGTGCCAACCACTGTGAGCATCACCAAGTAGAGCATTTGGAGGCTAAACAACAAGCAGTGGAAAGAGCATGCAGAATCCAGAATGTCTCACCCACCTGCCTCCTCAACATCACTTGTGGCCAAACCTGTAGCTTCAGGATTGGACTATTCAGCCACCATAGAAGCCACCCCTCTAGAGTGAAAGCATGTAATCCTGGATGCTGAGGGATTGTCAGAGAAAAAGACGGTATACTCACACTGTTGGAGAGTTCCGGGTTTTTGACCCATAGACAGTGAAGAAACAGTGATATACTTGAAAGTCAGGAAGTGTGTGTGGCTGGGAGAAGTTGCAGATGATGGTATTGCCATTTGTCCATTGTCCTTGTCCTTCTGGGTGGCTGAGACTGGCTATGTCCGTGCATGATCAAATACTCCAGTGTATACTTTTAAATCTCTCAAATGAATAGACAATACTCAAAAAACAATATTTGTGTAATGTCTTAACTGAAACCAGTTGACGAAAACAATACATTTGTTGCAATTTGATGTCCATGTCTTTGGGTGAAAAATTGGCTAGGTCTTTCCTCCTGACTACGACTTAATGATTGAAGCTAAGGAGGGCTGAAATAAATCTTGGGAGAAAACACTCAGTAGAGAGGAGAAAGCTAAATGACAGAAAAGATGAGTTTCAAGATCAACAGGATGGTCAGAGACAATAATAGATCCAAGACAGTGCAATTTTTTTATTTACTCATGGGATATGGGCATTGCAGGCTGGCCAGCATGTATTCGCCATCTCTAGTTGCCCTAGAGAAGGTGGTGGTGAGCTGCCTTCTTAAACTGCTGCAGTCCCTATGCTGTAGGCTGACCCACAGTGCTGTTTGGGAGAGAATTCCAGGATTTTGACCCAGGAACAGTGAAGGAATGGTGATATATATTTGTCAGGATGGTGAATGGCTTGGAAGGGAACATGCAGGTAGTGTTGTTCCCATGTATCTGCTGCCCTTAATCTTCCATGGAAGTGGTCATGGGTTTGGAGGTGCATCTAAGGATCTTTGGTGAATTTCTGCAGTCCCTCTTGAAGATTGTACACAGTGCTGCGACTGAGCATTAATGATGGAGGGAGTAGATGTTTGTGGATGAAGTGACAATCAAGTGGGTTGCTTTCTCCTAGATGGTGTCCAGCTTCGTGAGTGTTGTTCGAACTGCACTCATCCAGGAAAATGGGAAGTATTCCATCACACTCCTGACTTGTGTATTATAGATGGCAGACAGGTTTTGGGAGTCAGGATATGAGTTACCTGTTGCAGTATTCCCAACCTATGACCTGCTTTTGTAGCCACAGTATTTATGTGGCAAATACAGTTCAGTTTCTGGTCAATGGTAACCCCCAGGATCTTGGTAATGAGGAATCAGTGATGATAATACCATTAAATGCCAAGGGTGGTGTTTAGACCATTTATTATTGGAGATGGTCTTTACCTGATATTTGTGTGGCGTGAAAGTTACTTGCCATTTTTCAGCCCATGTCTGGATATTGTCCAAGTTTTATTGCATTTGAACATGGACTACTTCAGTACCTGAGGAACTGCGAATGTTACTGAACATTGTGCAATCATTATAGCAAACATCCCCACTTTTGACATCATGATGGAGGGAAGGTCCTTGATGAAGCAGCTGAAGATGGTTGGGCCTAGGACACTACCCTGAGGATCTCCTGCAGAGATGTCATGGAGCTGAGATGACTGACTTCCAACAACACTACCATCTTCCATTGTGGCAGGGTTTGACTTAAACTAGCAGAGAGTTTGCCTCTTGATCCGCATTGATTCCAATATCACAAAGGTATTGAGCTGAGCTACTGGTTTGTGATATTTAGTAGCGCCATACGGTTATGATCATTGCCTTCCACTAATTAAAGGATCCGATCTCATGCTTATAGTATAAGCATTCCAGGAACTGTTGTTCCAAAATTCCTGATTCAACAAGTTGAGGACAAGTTCCAGTTCTTACAGGCAATGTAAAAGTTCATGACTTACTTAGGTGAGGCAAATGTTTTTGAGTTAAGGATCTCTTCCACGCCCAACTCCATTGCCCATCCTCCACCCCTTTCTGGCCTCTGATGTCTGTCCGTCCTGCCCCCTTCTCTCAGGTCTGACTGTCAACCCAATCTGAGCATCTCATAATTTTATAGACTTCTATCAAGTTTCCCCTCAGCCTCCAATGCTCCAGAGAAAACAACCCGAGTCTTTCTAGCCCCTCCTAATAGCTCATACCCTCTTTCCTACACATGCATGACCAGTCAGAAAACAAAAATATTTAAATCGTTGTCTGAGGTAATGGTTCTGAAAGAGTTAATGTTTAAGCTGCATTA